AGACCTCAACCAAAAGTGAGGTCAACAGTTGATTTCAATTTTCATTTAGTTAAATTTTAATTTTGGTTAAATTAGAATTTTTCTCAAGTTTCAACTCAAACAGGGTTCAAGTTATAGCTTATTCGAGTTCAACTCAGTCATCGGGTTACACTAAAAAGGAGTTTCTATGTTCCGACGAGATCGAATATAAGCTAAGAAAAATGTTGATTGAAAAGTGAGATCAACACTTACTCCCTTATTTGGCCTACCTTTAGAAATTACCTTTTTTGCATGTCTTAGTGATGAAATATCAACCATTCCTGCAAATAAAAATGAAATAAATAAGAATAACAATAATAGTGCATATTAAAATAGTAAAAATGCAAAAAAAAGGTAAATAAATTTGATAAGATAAATTACATCTAATCTTCTATGACTAACATTGTGATTATGACAGTAAATAACAAAAACCTTTTTTGAGTTAGAATTAGAACAAAACAACTCATAATGAATGAAAATGTTATATTCACAATATCACCAATTTTTTTTTTTTGGAACAAAACACAAACTACACCCAAATGAAATATGAATGGAACCACAAACTTTACTTTTTCTTACCTTAAAACAATAAAATAAAATATATAATATACAACATGTGTCTACATATAGAACTAATAAACTAGGAGTTAAAATTCACATGACGACACATTAGGTAGTTTTAACTTGAAATTTTATTGTTTTACCTTCATCTAATACCTAACACAAAAAAAAAGTCAGGTGTTATGCCAATAAATGAACATAAAAAAGTGAATCAAACGGTCACACACTTCTTGATTCACTTTGTCTTTCCAAAAAAAACATGAAATTATTAGGGAAAACATCAACCTTTGTATATCTAATATCAAATGTTTTCATTTTCTTATTGACCTTATAAGTATTCTTTGATAATAATGCATCATCTAGAAATGTATCAATTAAAAGCTCAAGCAACATAACAAAAAACCTTGCAACAAGATTTCAAACACTTAAAACGAAATGCAATGCCTTGTAGTTAAAATATAAGTCTTTTCTGACATCTTCTAATATTTTTTTTAAAAATTGGTAACAAAATTTATGTCATCCAAATTAGGATCATTATGTTCAGCCCTTATGCTACTTGTGATATTTTTTAAAATAAGTGCATTCCTAAGCAATCTATCTGCTCAACTTGTTGTGATAGTTTTCATATATAAGAAACATCCAATTTTTCAAGTTCAATACTATTATTGTGTTATTTCTCATGTCGATTCCAAACAACATTACCAAGAAAAACTCCATTTAAGATTAAGTACTTCTTGACATCATTCACTGAATAAAAGTACATTTTAATGCATAATTTACAATGACACTAAATTTTTTTTGGTAAATTCATTCTCAGACCAGCGAACTCAAAAATTAATCAACTCTTTTATGATAGCGTTTACTTATTTGTGGTCGAGTGATCCTAGCTTTAACCATTCTAGTGGATAAATGTTTTACTTCCAAATAAGCTACAAGAAATTAAAGATTTTTTTTTTAAATAATGGATATAATAATTAATACATATCTTATTATCTAATACATTCAAAAAATCTTTTACAAAGTATTTCCTATCCTTGTAACTCCCATATGATTGTACAAACTTAAATGAATACTTTTGCTACTTCTAATTTATATTCAATCAAATTTATTTCAAAATCTAGTTAATATAAAAGTACACTTAAAGGATATGCATCCATATAAAATTATATTATCAATAAAATATAAAAAAGCAAAATTCTTATCTCCACAAGCACCATTATGTTGTTTTGTCATGGCTGCCTCAATTTTTTTTTTCATTCTTTCATATGAGATTTCTTCTTGTAATAATGAAATCTCAATGATTCAAGTACATCAAACAAATATGAAGTGATTTTGTAATAAGGCATGAGGTAAAGTAGTACTTGATATGCCAGACAAAAATTTATTTAATTAGAAATATATCTTCATATGGTATGATACAACACAAGAAATTCATATAATTTGACATAAATCAATCATAAGAGTCACCACAAATAGATAATTGTGGAAGGGCTTAAGACTGAAATCTATATGCTATAAGCATGATTTTATAATTAAAACATAGGTATGAATTAATTTCATACAAATCAGCATAGATTTGACATACATATATGATTAACTAGACTGGTGATCTAAAACTACATTGGTAAGTGTTAGGAAAATTTGAGATTT